TGCCGCCATCTTGCTCTCCCACTCCCTGACTCCCACACAGCTCAGCTGCCCTTTGCTGCCCCTCGCACTCCTCAGAAAGCCACCTCCATCCTCTTGACTGAGTCTCCTCCCTCCCTTCCTCCCCTCTGTCACCCCAAGGGCCTAGGCAGAGCACAGGACAACATGGAATGAGGAAAGGGAGGAGCTCAGCCAGCTAACCATCCCTGCCCACCACATGTGAACAAGACAGGCTTCTCCAGAGACAGAGCCAACACGGTATGCACAAAGGAAGAAATTTATTTGAGGAATTGGCTCACACAATTATAGAGGCTGACAAGTCCTGAGATCTGCCATCTGCAAACTAGAGACCCAAGAAAGCCAGTGTTATAATTCACTCTTGTTCCAACAGCCTGAAACCAGGGGAGCAGATGATGTAAGTCCCAATCCCAAGGCAGAAGAAGAAGAAATGAGATGTCCTAGCTCAAGCAGGGAGGTAAGGGGGAAAGACAGCAAATTCCTCTGTTCTCTGCCTTTTGTTTTGTGCAGACCCTCAAGAGGTTAGATGAGGCCCACCTGCATGGAGAAGGGCATCTGCTTCACTCAGTCTGCTAGTTCAAATGCTAATCTCATCAGAAAACCCTCACAGACACACTCACATAATGTTTAGTCAGAGCACCTTATGGTCCATTCAAATTGACTCATAAAATAAGCCATCACATGGGTGAAAACATTCCCTGGATGGTGAGTTTTCTGTCTCCCCACCGTGCATGCACAAAGAGCTGTCTAGGTAGATTTGATTCCCATCTTTTACCTACAAACATTTACCCTCAGCCTATGTGTGTTATTTCTCATCTTTACAATGTATTATTTCTCATCTTTACGATGTGTATTATTTCTCATCTTTACAATGGCCCAGAGAGGAGTTCCTGAGTCCTGGAGGGAACTGAGGTAAAAGTGTAATCACCTGATGGATTCTTCTTGCTCACTGCACAAAATCCATCTGCTGAGACCAGGGCATTGCAATAGAGAAAGAGTCTAACTGACATAAGGCTGGCCCATGCAGGAGAAATGAAGTTATCACTCAAGTATTTGGTGGGCCGGGGGACTAGGGAATGGGTGCTGCTGACTGGCTGAGGATGAAATCATAAAGGTGTGGAAAACAATCCTTGTGCACTGAGTCCACCTCTGGGTGAAACCCCAGGACCAGCTGAGTCATGAGTCAGGGGTTCAGGTGAAGTCAGTCTGAAAAAAATTCAGATAAAACCAATCTTAGGTTCTACAATAGTGACAGTGATGTATCCATAGGAGCAATTGGGAAAGTCACAAATCTTGTGACCTCTGGCCACATGATCCCTGAGCAGTAAGGGATTATAGAAATTACGCCATCATTTAGGCAGAGTTCAGGCTTCTCTCACAATTCTAATCTTGTGGTCCTTCATTAGTCTTACAAAGGCAGTCTTTGGTCCCTGAGGAAGAAGAGGGTTAGTTTTATGGAGGGATTTACTTTTACCCTTGCTTTTAAGTTAAACTATAAACTGTATTCCTCCTAAAGTTACCTTGGCCCATGCTGCCTTGACCAAGGACAGCTTGGAGGTCAGAAGCAAGATGCAATCAACTATGTCAGATTTATCTCACTGTCATAATTTTGCAAATGCAGTTTCAGAGGGAATGAGTAGGGGGAGGTGGAGGGCCTCTTGTAAGTTATTTGCTGAAGAGCACGCAGCTAATGGGTGCAGTTCACACAGGCTGTCACTCAGACTAGAGTGCAGTGGTGCAATCTCGACTCACTGCAACTGCCACCTCCCAGGTTCAGGCAATTCTCTGCCTCAGCCTCCTGAGTAGCACCTGCCACAACACCCAGCTAATTTTTCTATTTTTAGTAGAGACGGGGTTTCACCATCTTGGCCAGGCTGATCTTGAACTCCTGATCTCATGATCTACCTATCTTGGCCTCCCAAAGTGCTGGGATTACAGGCGTGAGCCACCGCACCCAGCCTAGGCTTTACTTTTTTAAAACTCTCTTATTTTATTTACCAATACATATTCATGAAAACAAATCAACCCACACAATAAAGCACCAATGAGAAAGACAAATTAATGGCTAAAATTGTAGTACCTCAAAGTACAGTTGACCTTGAACAATGAAGGGGTTAGGAGCACCAACCCTCATGCAGTCAAAAATCCTCATATAAAATTTGACTCCCCCCAAAACTTTACAGTAATAGCTTGCTGTTGACCAGAGGCCTTACTGATAACATAAATAGCCAACTAACACATATTTTCTATGTTATATATGTCATATACTGTATTCTTAAAGTAAAGTAAGCTAGAAAGAAGAAAATGTGATTAAGAAAATCATTAAAGAGAAAATATATTCACTATTCATCAAGTGGGGGCAGCTCATCATGGAGGTCTTCATCCTTGTCTTCAAGTGGAGTAGGTCAAGCAGGAGGAAGAGGGAACGGTCTCACTGTCCCAGGGATGGCAGAGGTGGAAGAAAATCTGCATATAAGTGGCCCACGCAGTTCAAACCTGTGTTGTTAAAGGGCCCACTGTGCATCCAGTCCTTGTCTCAAACCAAAGGCTCAGCCTTGTTCTAATGCTATTGTCTCTAAGGTATTCCCTTACATATTCACATCACCGCTCCACTGCAATGCACTGCTAAGGTGCTTACACCCTGTCTCTGGGGGCTATGGTTGCCCTAGTCGAGGAGGGCTCAGTGGCAGAAGGGACAAGAGTTCACCGACAACCGAAGCCCTGGTCCCAGGGTGCTCTCTTGGGTGCTGGTGACTCCCGGTGTCCCCTCTTGGGCATATTTTGAGGTCTAGAGAACCATTCTGCCTCACAGTGGCTGTCAGATAAGGTCTCTTTGGCAGATGCCTGAAGAGCCGTGTGCCTGCCAACAGACGTCCCCTGGCTTCCATCCCATCCTTCCCACTATGAGGAGTCGGTGGTGGTGTTCAGCTGATCACAAGGAACCCAGGCAGAAAAGTCCCCTAAGGCTACTGCAGCTCTGGGGTGTGGCTGAGTGGGATGCTCAGCAGGCGTCTGGGGAGGAAGGAAGGTAGACACCCTGAAGGCCTCTGACCCTACCTGAGGCCAAGGGTGGGTGAAAAAGTGTAGCATGAATGGCAGCTGGGAGAGCACAGAGCCCAGGGTCTACCCTGACTTCAGGGGGCCTCAGCCAGTCAGACTTTGAATAACACCAGCTATACTAGGGCCCCAATTTCTGTGGCCCTCTGCCATGACTAACAAGTCCCATCAATCAGGATGAACCAGATCTGACACAGGAACAAGTGGCCTGCCAATCTCAGGGGCTCTGCCCATCACAGTCACTTAGCACTGAGGCACCTCAGCGCTTCTCCACCTGTGGGCTGGTTGGGCTTCCTCGCAGCATGGTGGCCATGCTTGACCAGGGCAGTCAGACTGCTTCCATGGTGGTTCAGGAGTATTCCAGAGAGCCAGCGGGAAACTGTCACGTTTTCATGACCTGGTCTTGAAAGTTAGGTAGCATCACTCCACCGTAACTTTGGTGGACAGGTCACTAAGGCAGGCCCAGATTCAAGGGGACCAACATTGACTCCACTTCTCGGTGGGTGGAGTTGTAAAGCCACCTCTTAGGACTATCATGTTTTTCATAAGCTAATGTCTGTAAAGTGCTGAGAACCATTCCTCACAGTAATGCAGTTTATACAAGTGTTTCTTAAAGAAAGCATACTGCGCACAGGTTTGAAAATCATGTCTCAATAAGCCAACTCCCTGTTTGATATCCAGAACATTCCTGCGTCACCCAGTGGGGGAAGCACCAAATCCTGTTGCTCTTTCACTGCCATGCAAGTGCCTGGCCATGGAAGTTGGAGTCAGAATCCTTGTCACACCTTCCAGAAGTTTCACCAGAGGTTCAGAGAATCCAAAGATGGCTGGATCTCCACCCTCCCAGGGAGAGGGAACAAACAGTGGGCTGCAGCAGCCTGACTCAGGAGCAAATTCCTAGATGACTCTACCTGGGCCATGGAACACTGGGGCTCATGGCTGTGAAACTCAGAGCGAAAACAAGGCCAGTGTGGACTGAGGCGCTCACCCTCCACTGCACGTTCTAACCACCTGGAGACCCTCAGATGGCTCCATGCCCGGCCTCTCTCCAGACAGAGCTCTGAAGTGGGACCTGGGTTTCAGAATTCTGAAATCTCCCAAGTGATTTCAAGACACACCGAAGCCTGAAAGCAACTGAAGTGATGGGCTTCAGATGCTCCTGCGCTTGCGAGTGGCTTGGGGACCTTGTTAAGATATGGACTCTGACTCAACGGGACCAGCTGAAATTCTGCGTTACAAGCAAGCTCGTGGCAATGTTGATGCCTCTGGTCTGTGGACCACACTTTGAGTAGCAGAAAAATAGAGCAGCATTTCTCAGTCTTGTTTTGTCTTTTTAACTCTATGCTTCCCACTGATCAACATACAAATCCCATGCCTTCTTTTAGTATTATTTGAAAACTGCACAGTAAATTAAATATTGCAACTAAAACCAAGTGTCAATTTGAGGGGACAAAATTCTGCAGTGTTTGCACAACGCACTGCTGGGCCTTCCCATCCCACCAACACCCACAATCTAGGAAAACACCCTGTTACAAAAACAACCAGAGGCGGCACCCATCCGGCTTCACCCAGGTTTCCACCGGCTCCTTCACCCGGCACCTAAAGGACTCACCACCCACCCCCTGTTGGGGTCTTGCTTCACCCATCAATAAGCAAGATAATATCAGGTGGCCTCAAAGGGCCTTTCCGATATCACTAGGGACTTTTGATCTGAAATCATCTTTTAATCTTTTCCATCCCATGGATCCTCAGCCTCCTCTGTAACTTCCAGGAAAGAAGCAGGCCTCCAACAGCATTTTCTACCACAGGCACTTGTGCCCAGGGACTTTCCTGACAAGGACATGAACGGGCACATCAGAGTTGGAGACCACACACGCCATAAGATGCTGGCAGGAACAAGGCCTAAGCCAGGGGTTGAGGAAACTTACCTATAAGGGCTAGATGGCCTCTCAGGCTCTGCTGCTGTGAGTTCCGCTCACCGTTATTCAGCTCCACCCCTGAAGCACAAAGAGCCACAGATGGTGTGTAAACAAAGAGTGTGACTGCGTTCCAGTAACATTCACTTCACAAAAACAAGCGTTGGGCCTGGGCTGGATTTGGCCCGCAGGCTGTAGTTACCGGAGAACAGTGCTTCTTAAACTTTAATGGCACAGAGATCACTCAGGGATCTTGTTAAAATGCAGATTTTGAGAACATGGATTTGAGAGCAGCACTGTCCAACAGAAATATGATGGTGCCAGGCAAGGTGGCTCATTCCTGTAATCCCAACAATTTGGGAAGCTGAGGCAGGAGAACAGCTTGAGCCCAAGAGTTCAAGACCACTTGAGGCAATATAGTGAGACGCTGTCTCTATAAAAAAAAAGTAAACATTTAAAAAATTGGCCGAGGTGGGAAGATCACCTGAAATCAGGAGTTCAAGACCAGCCTGGCCAACATGGTGAAATCACGTCTTTACTAAAATGAAAATGCAAAAATTAGCCAGGCATGATGGTGGGTGCCTGTAATCCCAACTACTCGGGAAGCTGAGGCAGGAGAATTGCTTGAACCCGGGAGATGGTGGTTGCAGTAAGCCGAGATCATATCACCGCACTCCAGCCTGGGCAGCTGAGCAAGACTCCATCACAAAAAATATATATGTATATTAGCTGAGTGTGTTACCACACGCCTGAAGTCCCAGCTACTCAGGAGGGTAAGGTGGGAGAATCACTGGAGCCCAGGAGGTCACAGCTGCAGTGAGCTAAGATTGCACCATTGCACTCCAGCCTGGGTGACAGAGCAAGACCCTGTCTCAAAAATATAAAGAAATATAATGGGAGTCACATATGAAGTTTAAAATTTCCTGGTAGAGACTTGAGGCTAAAAAAAAAGTGAAATTAATATTAATAAGATACTTTATTTAACCAAATATACCCAAAAGAGTATGATTTCATCATGTGGCACTAACCACATTTCAAGCACTCAGTAGCCACGTGTGGCCAGTGGCCATAGTCATGTTTACACAGGATCAAGCCTGAGAGTCTGCATTTCAGACAAGCTCCCAGGTGACAAGAATGCTGCCAGTCCAGGGACCTCACTTTGTAGCAAGGGCCCAGAGAATGCTATCTTCTCCCTGGGCTGGTGAGACAGCTGTGGAGCTTCTACACAATTTTCTGCAGGACATTTGGCAAACTGAATATGTATCCTAAGATAGGAATGCTTGAAGTCACATCTTAGGGAACATCCAACTCGATACCATCCTTGTGCGTGATTATCAAGTAATCTTTCTCAAACACCCTCACCAGGTATTTTACACAAAGCCCAGTACATGGGGGCCCTGTCTCTTCCATATCACACAAAGGAAATGACATGCAGGGACAAGGAATGACAGGACACGTGTGTGCTGACGCCATCCCGTGGCCTTTACACGGGCCTCTCCAAGAAGTTCACAGTTCCATGAGCGAGGCTTAGGAATTCCCATTTTACGGGGGAGGAACCAATCTCCAAGCTTAAGAAGCTGCAGCTAGAAATGGGCGACCCTGTGTCTAAGGCCCAAGTCCATTCATTTCCAAAAGGCTCATGACCCAAGGAGTGTAGCATATAAGATGTCACCAGGCATAAGTCACAGACATTTCTATTCCAATATCTTTAATAGGACATCTCTAGCTTATCAAACTCGTGATATGGCACAGACAAAATTGCTTACATTAAGCTGAGGATTATTTTAAGAGTCTGTTTAAATTTTATTTATTTATTTTTTAAGCCAAGAACTTCCAGTTTTTATTTTTATAACATGACTTAACAAGAAACATGTTCACCCAAATTTTTAAAAATTAGGTTGGATTAATTTACAATATATGAATCAACTTAAAATATCAGCCCATTTATTTAGAGCCAAGGATGCTATTTAAACAGCAGAATTGCACCATTGATACTTTTACCTATATTTGACAGCACAGATATGCAAAAGTCATGCAACTTCCACTGACATCCTTTCCTCCCTCCAAAGTTGCATTCACATAATTTTATCTTAGGTCAGTTACAAGTTCTGTTTAAGAAATCGTTAAGTGGGCTGGGCATGGTTGGTGGCCCGTGCCTGTAATCCCAGCACTTTGGGAGGCCCGGTGGAGGGACTGGGTGGGGGGAATCGCTTTGAGCCTAGGAGGTCAAGGCTGCAGTGAGCTGTGATTGCCCCACTGCACTCCAGCCTGGGCACCAGCGTGAGACCCTGTCTACAAAAGGGAAGGGGAAGGGGTAGGGGCAGGGGAAGGGAGAGGAAGAAAGGAAGGAGAGGAAGAAAAGGGAGAAAGAGAGGGAAAGAAGAAGGGAGGAAGGAAGGAAGGAAGGAAGGAAGGAAGGAAGGAAGGAAGGAAGGAAGTTAAGCAATATAACCCTGTGGCAACATTTGTAATAGTGACTCTGAGAAGACAGAAAGATCCTCTGTGAGACTGTGGGTGTCCCCAGCAATTGGCGAGGCCTGCTGAAGATCATTTGGGTAAATGTCATGGTCACGCAGCCCCATTCTCTTCGCTGAGCTCCAGATTTCCATAGCCAATTGTCTGCTGGACATTCCTCCCTGAGACGTCTCACAAGTAACCTGTTCCAAAGTCAATTTTAGGGCCCCCCTCCCCACTGCGCCCGTCCTCCTCCTGCTCTCCTGGCCCCTTCAGTGGTCCCCACCCAGCCAGTTTCTGACACCAGACTCCGTCCTGGGCCTCGTCCTGCCTTCCCATCCCCACCCAAACGGGTCCTCTCCGCCTGGCCTGCACAGGCCCGGCCCACACCGCCCTGCCTGGGCTCCTGCTCCATTGCTGCCCCGGCCCACGTCCCTCACGGCTGGATCCTGAGTCACCCGTTGGCGGCGCCCAGAATGAGCCAAGCACCCTCCCCGCCGTCCCCAGGGTGCTGGCCTCGCTTCCGCTGCCCCTCCCGCGAGGCCTACCCCCACCCCCACCCCGCTGCGCCCCTTGGTTCTCCTTGGCCCCTGGCCCCCACTTTACATCCTGATTTGTAATCCCCCAGTGACTAACATAGCCCCCACCTCCTGGCCTGTTCACAGGGGTCCCCAGGGGTGCACGGACTGTGCGGGGTTCCCTCGGCCAACCCAGAGCCCAAAGCGCGGGGAGCACGTGGCAAACAGTGGGGGAAACAATGGAGCCGGATCCAAAGCGGTTGCAGCAGAGAGGGAGGCATCCAATCCCGTCCACCAGCCCCCAAAGGCCGTCGTCCTGCCTGGAGAACCGAGCAGCGCTAGGCAAGGTTCCCTAGTAAAGAAAAATATCTGACCGGCTCCAGCTCCAGCCCAAGCTGCTGGTCGGGGCGAGAGGCATGGGGACCTGTCCAGGGCAGGAGCCCCCGCACTACGGCACTGGGTGGGGGGTGCGGGGCAGGGCGGAGCGTGCAGGCCCTGGAACCCCACTCAGAAAAGGCCTGAGCCGAGGCGCCTCGGCTCTGCCCAGCTCAGCCCCCGCCCTCCAATACACAGTCTCCTGTGGGCTTCCATCCTTCCTCCCCTTCCCCCACACCTACCCAAAACTCCCCCAGGGCTCTGCTGAGGCTTCCCTGCTGTCCCAGCAGGGGCTGTCGGTTCCGCAGGAGCACGCTGTGAGATGAGCACCGAGGGACTGACGGATGGGGCCTCCAGGGGATACTGGGGAGGGCGGGTCAGAGCAGGGCCCAGAGGGGAGTGGCAGACGGGACACAATTTCGGGCCAGTTCCTGGGCGAGGCGCGTGGAGCCCGACCCCTGGGGGAACTCGGATTCTAATGACACCCTCACGTCTACCGGTCTATCCGGGCTTCCTACTCCCACTCTGGTCCTTTGGGCCCAAGGCATGAGGTGGGGAGGACCAGGGTGAGGATCAAAACCCCTGGGTCCTTCCTGCCTCTGCACCTGCCAGCAAAACAGCTCCGTGAGTCCAAGGGCAGCTCAAGGGCAGCTCAAGAGCAGGCCACGGGAGCCACAGGTCCTGGCCATGCAGCAAAAGCATACAGAAGCCAGGGCAGTGCAGACACAGCAACAGGACAGAGGGGCCTGGCTGGAGAGCCAACGTCAGGGGTCTCTCAGGGCCGACAACACGGTGTCCTGCGTGTACTGGGGTCTCAGTTAAATAACGAAGGGGGGATGTGATGACGTTCATGTGGGCTTCTCCCTGCCTTTGGTGGTGCCCTGGCCCTCCTGTGCCCTCCTCCTGGCCCTCCTCAGATCCTAGGAGCTGTCACACACTCAACACCCCCAGGCAGCACCAGCACCAAAAGCCCTCACTCCATAGCCCTCTGACACCTCGCTCAGAGTGAGCTCAGCTTCTTTTCTTCAAACATGTCTTCATCGCAGGGAGGGAGTCGAAAACTCTCCTTCTGGCCACACACGGAAATGCAGCTGTCACCAGGTGGAAAAGGAGGAGAAGATGCAGTGGGCACGGGTGGGCCTGGATGGCCCCTGGCCGGGCTCTTACCCGCAGTTGGGGGACAGAGGCTGGTTGGAAGAGCACCTCCTTCCCAAAGCTTGAGGACAGGGCCGTCCCTGACACCTGCGCCTGGGCTGGTCTTCTGCACCCTTAGCCTCAGGTAGCCTCGGACCGCTGTGCTGTGGAGGGTTAGCCGTAGAGTTTTTCTGCACTTTGGGTCTCCTTCACCATCTGCAGCTGGACTAGGGGTCTTGGGTTGCCGGGAAGCCTTCTGTGAAGTAGGCTGAAGACAGCCCTTCCTCACTCGGAGGGCACAGCCGAGCCCGGCCGCATTCATAAGTGAAAAGGGCGACTCCACCGTGATGGGATCCTTCTGCCATTCCCCCAAGACCCCAGGATTGATGACAGGCATTCAGAACTGCAAGGGGCATGAGGGGGCTGCTGTGTCCTTGTCCGGGCGGCTTCCCAGCCTCAAACTGCTGCCTGAGAACAGGTGGCAGAACATTCCTGAGTATTTAACCCTTGGCTCCCAAGAGTGCAGGAACGACAGTTCTGTGCCTGAGGAAAAGATCCGCGTCGCTCGCACCTCACTTAGGACAACCTGTGCTTTACAGA